AAGGAGACCAATGAGTCCTCAACATGACACAAAGTTAGTTCAGATTTTCCACATCTGGGTGCCTTGAAGCCAGTTCCCTGAACTTCTCCCAGTGGTAAATCACATCTTTCAAATCTTTAGTTGACATATGGTCATCACTTTCCTTTTCCTCCTCACCACTGTCAGCCTCTAACATCTCATACAGTTGCTTCAAGTCATCAGGAGTAAGTTCCTCATGAGACATCACAAGCTCTTCGACATCATCCTCTTCCACTTCAAGGCCCAATGACTGACCAATGGACACAATCTCCTGGTCCAACTCTGTGTCATCCTGAAATCCCTCAAAATCATGGACTACTGATGGCCACAGTGCAGTCCATGAAGAATTGAGGGATCTAGTGGAGACTTCTTGCCATGATGACACAATCAATTTTACAGCCTCCAGGATGTTGAATTGTGTCTTCCAGAACTGTTTCAGTGTTAGTTCAGGATCATTGGAAGTTGCCTGATGACACCTCCTAAATACTTTCTTCATGTATACTTCTTGAAGTTGCTGATCACATTTTGGTCCATTGGCTGTATGATTGATGTAGTGTTGGGAGGCAAAAACAACACTTTCACAAAGTCAAATTGATACTCCATAGTTCTGGCAAGTTCAGGGTCATGACCAGGAGCATTATCCATGAGGAGAAGAGCCTTTAAAGGGAGTTTATTGGTGGTTAGGTAGCTCTTGACAGAAGGTCAAAACACCTCAACAGCCCATTCTTTAAAGAGCTGTCTTGTCACCCATGCTTTACAGTTGGACTTCCAATAAACTCCAAGCTTTGCTCTTACCACTTTCTGTTGCTTGAACACCCTGGGGTTTTCAGAGTGGTAGACAAGCATAGGCTTCTGTCTGAAATCCCCTGAAGCATTGGCACCAAGCAATAGAGTGAGACGGTCTTTCATGGGTTTATGCCCAGGTAAAGAGGCTTCATCTCTGGTGATGAATGTTCTTTTGGGCAACTTTTTCCAGAACAGCCCAGTTTTGTCCACATTGAACACTTGCTGTGGAAGATAATTTTCTTCCATCAGTTCTTTAAATTCCACTAAAAACTTTGCTGCCCCTTCCTTATCAGTACTAGCAGCCTCACCATGCCTAATAACACTTAAAATGTTACTTCTTTTCTTAAATTTTTTGAACCAGCCTTTGCTGGCCCGAAAATCTTCAAATTCTGTGCCTGAAGAACCAGTTTGATCTGTCTTTAAATGTTCGTAAATCTCCCTGGCTCTTTCACAAATGAATTCAGTAGAAACTGAATCACCTTTCAACTGTTTTTCCCTAATCCAGATGAGAAGTAACCTCTCAGTTTCTGCAATTAGGGCTCTACCTTTAAACACTCTGGTAGATTTGTCTCTCACTTTCACTTCTTTAAATTTGTCATTCTGTGCAAGAATTGTCGACATAGTTGATGTTGACATGCCATATTCTTTGCATAGCGCATTTGTTCTAACGCCTTCTTCATGTTTCTTAATAATTTCCTGCTTGGTTTGGTTTGAAATCGCTTTTCTTGATCTCTTAGGCCCCATGCTGGATTCAAACACACGTGATTTTTTAAGTTTAAACTAGCTGTAAATAAAGAATATTTTCTTTAAAATAACACTGCACTGAGCTATATATTGTCAATATGTAAAATAAAGTTAAAAATGACCAATAATTTGCTGGAAAAACAGAAAATAAAGCATTTAGTTGGAGAGTCTCAAGCAAGATGTTACCTCCACTGAAAACAGAGAGAGACTAACGCTTGTTTGGTGTGTTAACAGGCTGGATGGCGCGCCAGAAACTAGTGACCTTACCTTCAATTATGTTCAATAATTGTTAAAATGACTAAAAAAAATAATATTAAACCTTTAAAGTTATTGAATAGTATAAACTTCTTGATATTTACTAAAATAGTAAGGAATTTAAGCCCGAGAACCGATTTTATTGGCGGACTAATACTACAGCTGGTTGACCGCCAAGTGCTAGCGAAAACATGTTCAGGTCGGCTCGTAAGAAACTCGTTAATCGAGGGATTGCTCGTTAACCGAAGTTAAAAATCTTATGGGTGGTAACTCGTTAACTTAAATCTCGTTTACTGAGGCGCTCGTTAACCGAAGGACCACTGTATATATTTTAAACTTATTTCCATTTTCTATACATTTTGTCCACTTTTTCTGTTCCATATTCTTGTTTCCTTGAAGGTATACATTGTACTGTTCCTCTTAATCTACTCCACACATGTAGTACAGTCGGCCCTTAACATACGCGGGGGTTACGTAACAGAGATAGCCGTGGATGTTAAAAATCTGCGTATATGTGCTGCCCCCCCCCCCAAAAAAAAACCCTGGCCCCCCATGTCCTTATTTACCGTATATACCTGTGTGTAGTTCGAGTTTTTAAGACCAAATTATTTGGCAAAAAATTGGGGGTCGACCTCTAAAAGGGTAATAGTTTCGTTAGGTTGAAAAATATTTACCAGTAACTACCAGTAAACAATGGAAACGATGCACCAACGCACCACCAGCTGTGAGTGTCGGTACAGTTGCCAGGGCAGATCTCTTGCGTCATCATAGCAAGCCCAAAGTAGCCAAATCCATGGTATGGTAGCACAGGACGATGTAAAACATAAAGTATTCATTTATTAAAGTTTATTTATAGATACTGGACATAAATTTTTGTTCATTACATTTGAAACATCAATCTTTGTTAATTAAATTTGAAACAAAAGAAAACTACGATACCGTATTTTCATTAAAATATTACATCACAAGTATATTTTACCTTAACTGTGACTGAATGAATATACGTATTCTCAGAAATAAATATAGAAATATAATATTTTTGCTGGAATGACGAACATATTACAGTGGAAAGTGAGATAAAGTTATGACGAAAACAATGACTCGCTTTCTTTCGTTATTCAAAAGATGTTACCGTAATCGCTTTTTGAATGGTTTTTAGTTAAAAAACTGTTGTACTCGTACTGTATTACAATAATATTCTATCCTATCATTAGTCTTATAATCCCACAACTGAAAACCATTCGAAAAGCGATTACGGTAACATCTTTTGAACGAAAGAAAGCGAGTCATTGCTTTCGTCACTTTCCACTGTAATACGTACATCATTTCAGCAAAAATATTACATTTCCATGTTCTCATAAATAAATGGTAGTTTTGTTGAAACGTAATGTACAGTATTTAATATTAAAATGCAAAAATAGCTATAAAAACAATTAATACACCCGTAATGTACTGGCTCGCATCTCGTCCCTGCTCCCGCGTCCAAGGTCACCACTCCTCCCAACTCGCTCGCTCCCTCCGCCTCCTCCACCTCCACCGTCACTTCTGCCGACAACAAACACAAATGTTTTGTGAATTACTGCACCTCCACTTCCTATGTACAGTACTGAACTGTACTGTGCTGTGCATTTTTACAAACAATAAACATGGCAAGAAAAGCTATTAAAAAAAAAGAGATAAAACTTCACTTTACTGTACAGTTCCTATCCTCGGCGACAGGACGGGGGTCATCGGGCTCATCGTCTCTCAATTCCGTAACGGGTGGTGAAGTGGGGACAACGGTGGATTCAGCTGCTTCCTCACTGCCGCCAGTGATTGGTGTTAAATCTCTCCTTCGGTGATCAAAGAACATGGTGATGGGGAGTTGTCGTCTCTTTCATTCATTTCTTCCATGATGTTTTTGTATGGAGCGAAAACATCATCCATCCCTCGCATGAATTTCAGGGCACGCACCATGGAGGGGTACAAACTATAGGCCAGGTTTTTCAGTACCTCAATATTCCTGGTCATCTCCCCCAACTTCTCCAACATTATTTCTTGGTGCTCTTCCTCTTCCTCATCCTCTTTCCCTTTCGCTTCCTCTTCCTTGCCTGAGTCTACTAACTCCTGTAGATCCTCCTCGGTCAGCTCAGTGTCATGCTCTTCAATTAGCTCCCTAATCTCGTCCTCTGCCATGTCCTGGAAGCCTTCAGCAGCCACTTTCCTTGACAGTGCCAGGGTCTTTCTGAATATTTTCATTAAAATCCATCAAAATCATTTTCCTTGTCATCGTCTTAAGCACCAAACAGCTTCTCCCAGTCTTCTCCTTGAACAGGGCTAGAGGGTACGTATTTTTCGAATAGTTTTCAATTAAAAAATGTTACAGCACATGCATATTTTACCTAAACTGTGCCTGAATGAATATATTCTCAGAAATAAATAGTAGTTTTGCTGAAACGTGATGTATTTCAATGTAAAATAGGATAAAATACATGACGAAAACAAGGGACTTTACATAACCTTCCGATGTTCAAGATATGTTACTCGTTTTTTAGTAGTTTTCGGTTAAAATACTCTTATATTAGTGATATTCTATTTATACTGTGCTTCATATAATACATTCACGGAAATGTAATATTTTTGCAACTACAATGCTGATGTCAACACAAGTGTGGTTACAACGAGACTGACTGAGTGAGGGAGAGCTATGTGTGTGTGTGTGTGTGTGTGAGGTTGCGGGAGCGGGCGGTGTCCCATGTTCGGTGCCGCACGCAAGTTGAATGGCGCGCGATTTGAATGTACTTCAATTACTTCAATGTACAGAATATTCCTCTGGCGGGGCAATCTGCGTATTTGCAAATCCATGTATTATAAACCCGCGTATGTTAAGGACCGCCTGTACTGGGAAAGACATACAACAGAATTATTTACAGATATAATTTATTTTTCACATTATTATTATTATTATTATTATTATTTAGATGTTTAAGACAGTCATGAATAAAAGTCATGTCGTGTCGCCTCTCCTGAACCACTAACCCCAAGATTCAGACTCGTGAACCTGAAGCAGCAGACTGATGTATTATTCTGCCCAAAAATGCTTCAGGGTCACTTGTCTGATTCTTTTGTTTGTGATTGTATATTAATAATGAGACAGGTAGCAATGACAGGTAGATAATTATATTGTTCTTCTTTCAAGTATTGTACCTCTGTTTCAGTGGCACAGTGAACACACGTGGTTTCCCAGCTACCAGTGGAAGGTTTGCCTGTGTCCGCGCTGTGAGGCTCACTTAGGCTGGTAAGGACCTCGCATGTCAACAACTTTTCTTTGGTGTATGTATGCTTGTAGAGAAAATGTATTCAACTGGGAGGGAGTAGGAGAGGTAGGGAGGGATGTATGTGAGGGTTTATGTGTCATCGGGTTGGCGGTGAAAAGTCTCTTCAAGCATTCAACATTTATGGTATATTTCTGGCTGTTTTGGTGTCAAGTATTGAGTTATTTACAAAGTCTGACTCATAATTATACTTAAAAAAAATCAATTTGTGGCGTGAAGAGAATATTGCAGACTTTTACCGCCACCTCTATGGGACGCTGCCAAGTCATCCACCTACCCCCTACCCTCCTATACACAACCTCCCTCCTCTGCCTCACCCTCTCTCTACCCCTCCCTCCCTCCCTGCCTCTCCCTCCCTTCCTCCCTCCCTCCCTGCCTCTCCTTCCCTTCCTCCCTCCCTCCCTGCCTCTCCCTCCTTGCCTCCTCCTCCCTGCTCCTCCTCCCTCCCTCCCTGCCTCTCCCTCCCTCCCTGCCTCTCCCTTCCTCCCTGCTGAATTCTCTTTATCCACAACTGGACAAAATTGGAGAAAATAAAATACGGTGAATACATTTCTCACTCAGCTTCTCAATAATACTTCTGTTAGTCTTGGATATTTCTCAGCTGCTCAAACCCACAAACTTTCACCACTTCAATTATTCCAGATATAATTCCTCTTCTTTTATATTCATGTGTATTATTTATCCATATCTTAGTTGTACAGTACTGTATTTTCTTATACAAATTCCAACACTTGCAATACCCAATTCTTGTCTAACATCTACATTCTTCAACTGCACTAACAACAAACCACCCCTCTGCCTCCACACATATGTTCACCTCCTACACAGAATAAACACTTGTACTCTTCAATGTTCTTATTTTATTATTTAATATTATATTTCTTTACTTTTAAGTTACATTAAGGATGTGTCACACTAGCATTTCTACTCTCAACTTTTTTCACGTATCGTCGGAGTTGTCGTTGGCTGTTTGTCAGACGGTACAGACCGTCTGACCTGATAACTCATGCGACAACTACGACAATTTACCGGAGTTGACTGAATATCCATAATTGATACTACAAATACAGTAAGATCTTGTATTTCACGAGTAATATAGACTGGAAAAATTGCACCAAATTCAAATTTGCCAAATACAAATACAGTATTACCCCGCTTTACACGGTTTCACTTTCCGCGATTTCTCATTTACGCGGTACCTTGCCAGAACCAGACTTTCACTTTCCGCGGTGCATCTACTCATATACGCGGTGAAGTATAATTTTTTTTTTTTTTTTAGCTCATAAAATTCATACAAATTACCCGGCCAGAATATAATTTACATTGCTGGAATTCTTACAATTTGATGATCATTTTGAATATAAACATCATGGATTTTGCATTAGACATACAAATTTTAGATTTAATGTAATAATTTGGTTTACACAAAGCAAATATTTTATCTTTTGTGCAAAATATATGACGTTTACATTCAAAATATTCCCTGACCTACAAGGAATCCAGATATGTCAATTATATTATCCTAACTTTAGTCTGAGGTATTATTTATTACTAAAAGTTAAAATCTAGCTTTTTCACCCAACATTTCTCTGGTAGGGAGGGAAGGTGGGGGGAGGGTTGGGACCGACCGACCATCTGGCGCGGTTGGAAGAGGGGGAGGCAAGGTGGGGTACTTTGATTGAGAGATAGTGTCGTGAAGAATATTTTTTTTTTTTTATTACCTGAAGATATTTGTTTTAGCTCATAAAATTCATATAAATTTCTCGGTCAGAATATAATTTACATTGCTGGAATTCTTGCAATATGATGATCATTTTGAATATAAACATCATGGATTTTGCATTAGACATACAAATTTTAGATATAATGCAATAATTTGGTTTACACAAAGCAAATATTTTATCTTTTGTGCAAAATATATGAAGTTTACATTCAAAATATTCCCTGACCTGCAAGGAATCCAGAAATGTCAATTATATTATCCTAACTTTAGTCTGAGGTATTATTTATTACTAAAAGTTAAAATCTAGTGGTTTCACCCAAACATTTCTCAGAGAGGTAGGAGCTAGTGAGCTGGGAAGATGGGGGGTGGGGATTTGAGTCCATTATTTGCATGGACATTAACCTGGCGACTGTATTTCTCTTAAATATTAATTGTGTGAGCATACCATCATAAAATTTAGATGTTATTTTTACTACAACATAGGTATTGTGTCGGAAAAAGTGGAGTTTGGGGGTCGGGCCAGTCTCTATTGGAATTAATCCCATATGTTCTGTTGTTCACTTCCGTTCCGCGGTACCCTGTGGGTTCAATTGACCGTGTAAATCGGGTACTACTGTATATATATATACGGTATTGTTTTTTCTTAATTTTAAGTAAAAGCGACAAGGAAATAAACTTTAAACTTTGTAAATAAAGGGCTTCATTACTAAGAGGTGTACTATACCTGTACAGTGTAGAGAGTGGGGACATCAGAACATGGGGACTCAGCTCATTACTTCTGGCAGGTGTCATGACTCACTATTAGCTGCTGGTACATAATTTTTTAGTCTAATTCCCAACTTCTGAATAGACTGTTTTTAATTTTTTATTTATATAATGTATCCATATAATGATTGTTGTCTTTATTTTCTTATTTATGGACTAAAACATTTGTCTTAGTGTGTGTGGAAGCAAGTCTAGCAGGCAGGGAAGAAAATTGAACTTAGCACAATAAAAACATGTAAGATTTTTTAGAAAACCCTCTTTTCTGAGATCAGATTTCGAGAGTTTGTACTCTCAGACCATAAATTCGTTTAACCCTTTAGTTTGATGGATTTCAAAATGAACACCACCTCTCCTGCCATCTCAATCGAGTTGGTAAAGTGTTTGCGATGTCATTTCCCTTATCCTTATTTTTCAAAATACTGTATAGAATAAGACAATAGGAAATTGTATTATAACAAGTGACAGGAATTGTGAACCTGGTAGCTCCACATATTCCCATTACAATAACAGGAAGGCTATCAATGTAAACCCAGATATGGAAGCTTTTTATGGAGTTTTCACTGTTGTCATATTATACGAGACTGAAGGGGTAAAATTAATACGGTATATTTGGTCTGACTGTACCCACGCTCCAAATAGTATCTTTACCCTTTTGTTAGATAATATGACACAACGCAGAAATGATTTTGACGACAGCCCTACCAAGACAACAAGGGTTGTGGTGTTTGTTTTGAAATTCATCGGCCCTCTCAGTGAAGACACCTCTTGGGGCGAGTGTTTCGACACCCCCCCCTGGCTTGGTGTTCGCCGAGGCCAGGGTTTAGGTAAGGCTGGGTGATCGGACGCAGACTAGTTCAGCAGTGCGGTAACGAGGCACTACGATGGTGAGGTTCACATTCCACCACCACAACACTCCGAGACTCATAGCACACGAGCACAGGAAGGAACTTATTACCAACTTTTAACAATTATTGAACATAACTGAAGGTAAAGTGACTAGTTTAATGCGCGGCATCCAGCCTTTTAACACAGCAAACAGGAATTAGTCTCTCTCTGTTTTCACTGGAGGTAACATCTTGCTTGAGACTCTCTTCAACTAAACGCTTTTTTTCTGTGTTTCCAAGCAAATTATTGGTCATTTTGAAATATATTTTACATATTGACAATATATAATGCAGTGCAGTGTTGATTTAAAGAAAATAATCTTGAATTACACCAAGAGAGCTAAAATTTTATGGGTGAAATGGCGCCATGGGGTGACTTCTCTTCCACCCCAATGCCTTCTCTTTTTCCTTCTCCTCCACCCTCATTCTAAATCCCATCATCATCATCATCATACAGGAGCCTTCTACATACACACCTCAAAGTAAGTGAACTTTTCTACCATTTTTGTTGAATTTAGGAAATTTTCGGTGAGCTGGAACCAATTACTCAAAACCTATTGAAATAATGGTTTCTCGTTAATCTAACTTTTCGCTTAATCTAAGCGACCTTCTGGAACGGATTGAGTTCATATATATATATATATATATATATATATATATATATATATATATATATATATATATATATATATATATATATATATATATATATATATATATATATATATATATATATATATATATATATATATATATATATCTTGATAAAAATCACACGGAAAAATGGAAACAACGAGTACCTTAGCTTTCGCTCTTTTATTCAAGACATTCAGAATTTATCAAAAAAATATATATATATATATATATATATATATATATATATATATATATATATATATATATATATATATATATATATATATATATATATATATATATATATATATATATATATATATATATATATATATATATATATATATATATATATATATATATATATATATATATATATATATATATATATATATATATATATATATATATATATATATATATATATATATATATATTTCATGTAAATCCACAATGAAAACGTGGATAAGATAAATCTTGATAAAATCACACGGGAAAATGGAAACAACGGAGTACCTTAGCTTTCGTCTTTATTCAAGACATCTTCAGAGGCAACTGAATATATATATATATATATATATACAGTAGTACCCCGCTTAACGCGGTCATTAAAACCCACAGGGTACCGTGTTAAGTGAAAACCGCGCTAAGTGAACAACAGAACATATGGGATTAATTCCAATAGAAACTGGCCCGACCCCCAAACTCCACTTTTTCCGACACAATACCTATGTTCTAGTAAAAATAACATCTTAATTTTATGATGGTACATGCACACAATTAATACTTAAGAGAAATAGAGAAATACATTCGCCAAGTTAATGTCCATTCAAATAATGGACTCGACTCCCTCCCCCTCTTCTCACACTACACTGCTGGCTCTTCCCTCTGAGAAAATTTTTGGGGGAAAACCACTAAATTTTAATCAATAATACCTCAAACTAAAGTTAGGATAATACAATTGACATTGCTGGATTCCTTGTAAGACCAGGAATATTTTGAATATAAATGTCATATATTTTGCACAAAAGATAACATATTTACTCAGGGTAAACATTATATCTAAAATTTGTATGTCTAATGCAAAATCTATGATGTTTATATTCAAAATGATCATCATATTGTAAGAATTCCAGCAATATAAATTATATTCTGGCCGGGTAATTTGTATGAATTTTATGAGCTAAAACAGGCAGGCAGGCAGTCAGGTAGGGTGGCGGGTGGGGGGTGGGGCGAATCTAAAACTAGCTCTCGAGTCGGACACTCTGCGCGTATACGTGGAAAAAAAACCCGCGTTAAGTGAAAGTTCAGCTCTGGCAAGGCACCGCGTATATGATAAAACGCGCTAAGCTAAACCGTGTTAAGCTAAACCGTGTTAAGCGGGATATTACTGTATATATATTTTTTTTTTTTTTTTCAGGATTTTTGAGCCCAAAGAAAAAGCAAGTGTGAGCCATTTCAGAGCTTCATCTGAGGGCTTCTATGGGCTAATTCTTGAGAAACTGATAACAGAGAGATGTAAGTAATAAATATCAGGACATAGTTTAAGTTTAGTTATTCTAGGTTAAAGTAGGTTAGGGTATATTAAGTTGGTTAGGGTAGGTAAGTTAGGTTATTGTGGGAATACTTTATCTATGTTTACTTATTTTAGTTTCTTGTTGTGTTATTTTATCTCAGTCTTTGGTTATTTTATGTCCTTGTTGACATAACGAATTTACTGTGTGTCTGCATACAGTAAATGTAATCCCTCAGTTTCAGATTTACTTGTTATTGTAATCCCTCAGTTTCAGATTTACTTGTTATTGTAATCCCTCAGTTTCAAATTTACTTGTTATTGTAATCCCTCAGTTTCAGATTCACTTGTTATTGTAATCCCTCAGTTTCAGATTCACTTGTTATTGTAATCCCTCAGTTTCAGATTCACTTGTTATTGTAATCCCTCAGTTTCAGATTCACTTGTTATTGTAATCCCTCAGTTTCAGATTTACTTGTTATTGTAATCCCTCAGTTTCAAATTTACTTGTTATTGTAATCCCTCAGTTTCAGATTCACTTGTTATTGTAATCCCTCAGTTTCAGATTCACTTGTTATTGTAATCCCTCAGCTTCAGATTCACTCGTTTTTGTAATCCCTCAGTTTCAGATTCACTCGTTATTGTAATCCCTCAGTTTCAAATTTACTTGTTATTGTAATCCCTCAGTTTCAGATTCACTTGTTATTGTAATCCCTCAGCTTCAGTTATTGTAATCCTCAGTTTCAATTCCTTGTTATTGTAATCCCTCAGTTTCAATTCACTTGTTGTGTAATCCCTCAGTTTCAAATTTACTTGTTATTGTAATCCCTCAGTTTCAGATTCACTTGTTATTGTAATCCCTCAGTTTCAGATTCACTTGTTATTGTAATCCCTCAGTTTCAGATTCACTTGTTATTGTAATCCCTCAGTTTCAGATTCACTTGTTATTGTAATCCCTCAGTTTCAGATTCACTTGTTATTGTAATCCCTCAGTTTCAGATTCATTTGTTATTGTAATCCCTCAGTTTCAGATTCACTTGTTATTGTAATCCCTCAGTTTCAGATTCACTTGTTATTGTAATCCTCAGTTTCAAATTTACTTGTTATTGTAATCCCTCAGTTTCAGATTCACTTGTTATTGTAATCCCTCAGTTTCAGATTCACTTGTTATTGTAATCCCTCAGTTTCAGATTCACTTGTTATTGTAATCCCTCAGTTTCAGATTCACTTGTTATTGTAATCCCTCAGTTTCAGATTCACTTGTTATTGTAATCCCTCAGTTTCAGATTCACTTGTTATTGTAATCCCTCAGTTTCAGATTCACTTGTTATTGTAATCCCTCAGTTTCAGATTCACTTGTTATTGTAATCCCTCAGTTTCAGATTCACTTGTTATTGTAATCCCTCAGTTTCAGATTCACTTGTTATTGTAATCCCTCAGTTTCAGATTCACTTATTATTGTAATCCCTCAGTTTCAGATTCACTTGTTATTGTAATCCCTCAGTTTCAGATTCACTGCTTGTCGGAGTACCAAAGTTTCATAAATATTAACGTCATGGCTGGTGACCATCAGGACAATGCCTCTCTGGACGACATGGTTGAACTGGATACTAACTACCTCACTCAGTTGGAGGAGGAAGCTGCCGACCGCTACACTGAACATGACAAGGAGTTCATGGAGGTGATATATCTTACCCTTATAGCTGTTTTATATATTGTTTATAATTAAACTTTATAAATTTTGTATCTTAGGTGCTGGCTGGGGGTGAGGATGAGAGTAGCCAACCTGAGGTGTTGGCTGGGGGTTGAGAGTGGATGTGAGAAAAACTAACCTCTCAAATGTAGTACAGTGGTACTTACCCACTGACTCAGTAGTCCTTTACCAACCAGCCTTGGTTTTTTAAAATAAGGCCAATTCACTTCAAGTAATGTCATCAAATGTTACCCGCTGGTGTAGTGTAAACAATAGTGACGTCTACATACAATCAACACCTCAACCCGCCAGGATTTGAACCCACGGCACACAAGCCTATGACTGTGACCGGGGAACGCTAACCGCTGGACCACCAGGATACTAAAAGCAGTCCTAGACTTTGTTATATTTCACACAAAGCCTGTTCAACGAGCTTATGGCGCCGTGAACCTCTAATGGGGACCACCCGTATCACTTAGGTGGTCAGAGTAACGTTTTACCAAATCCGGCTTCGAAACACGAGGATCATATATATTTCATTAGCCCAATAAAGCACGCGGACTTCTACATACAATCAACACCTCAACCCCCAGGATTCGACCCACGGCACACAGCCTATGACTGTGACCGGGGAGCGCTAACCGCTGGACCACCAGGATACTAAATGCAGTCCTAACTTTGTTATATTTCACACAAAGCCTGTTGAACGAGCTTATGGCGCCGTGAACCTCTAATGGGACCACCATTATATATATATATATATATATATATATATATATATATATATATATATATATATATATATATATATATATATATATATATATATATATATATATATATATATATATATATACAACAAAATAAATGTTAAATGAATTATTTATGGTGCATTAGGGTACTGATCACTTCAGACACAAAGACGGGCTATAAATAGCCTTCCTTATCTCCCCTCCATCTCACCCTGAGCCAGAGGGAAGGGTGGTGGTAAATAACATTTGTTTGCTTATTTTCCATTTACTTGAAATAGATTTACCGAATTACAGTTGTACCCCACTTAACGCGGTCAATTGAACCCAGAGGGTCCCGCGTTAAGTGAATAACAGAACATATGGGATTAATTCCAATAGAACCCAGCCCGACCCCCAAACTCCACTTTTTGACGACAAATAACTATGTTGTAGTAAAAATTCTATCTTAACTTTATGGTGGCATGAAAAACAAGTAATATAGAAGAGGTTAGGTTAGGAAAGATAAAGGTTAACATAGGAAAAATAAAGAATAGGTTAAAAAACGAAAATTTTTGAGGAACACTCACGGTAGTAGAAGAGATGGGTCGGCATACGGGGATGGAGGCTGGTTCCGAGGCAGAGGGCAGATTACTGCCCTCAGGTGAATCACCATTACTAGGTGAATCACCATTACTAGGTGAATCAATATCACTGTCACTTACAGTTGTTATGGCTTCCCTGACAAATCCCTCAAAATCAACTTCACTATCACTATCACTGGCTTGGGCTGGCTGTGGTGGGTTGCGGGCGAAGAACTCGGTTATGCTTTGCTGACGGCTGGCTTTGATGTTGTCATGATACACCGTGATGTACGGCTCCATAGCCTGCACCAGTCGGGTATGGAAGACGTCATGGCGTTCATCGTCAGTGTCGCTGGAAACGATGGACTTAATTTTTTCTGTTAACTCTATGAGACACTTAATATCACTATGACTTAAACTAGGTTCTTCGGAGAATGACGCACCTTCTTCCTCCTCTTCACTGGCGGGTTCTTCTTCCAACATCTCGTCGGCAGTCACTTCAGGATCTCTGATCACCTCCATGATGTCTTCGTTGGTGGTCTCGGAGAAGCCTTCAGCTGTAATACTGAGCGCAGCTTCTCTGGCAAGGTCCACTGCTACTGCAACAGTCTGAACCTGACCAGTCACAGGTTCACTCCTCCTCTCACCTGGTATGCCATGCAACACATGTCTCCATGCGTGACGAATCGTAGCAATAGTCAGCAGATCCCATGCCTCCACCAAGAAGTCTACAGCTTGTTTGACGTTAAACTTCTTCCAAAATTGTTTGACGAGAAGTTCTTGAGTCGCCGCCTCTTGTTCCTTGTCCTCGTCGCTTTTACTCTCGCTGTCGGTGTCACCCAGCTTACGCAACTCATCCTTGGTGTTGGTAGAGTCGTTCAGGAGCTTGAATTTCTTTGCCGAGTATGCAGCTTTAACATTGCAGATTAACTCCTGGTCCATGGGCTGGATTAATGACGTAGTGTTGGGAGGAAGGAAGACCACTTTTACGTTGGGGTGACGATCCATAAGTAGGGGCGAGTGTCCAGGTGCGTTGTCAAGGAGCAACAAAATATTGAAAGGAACATTCTGTTGCTCGCAGAATTTCTGCACGTCAGGAACAAAACAGTTGTCAAACCAGAAGAGGGACAGAGAAGAGGACATCCACGCCTTACGTGCAGCACTCGTCATTCCTCACCAACACATATTGGTTTACAGGATGTGGTGGTGATGCGTTTGTCTTCCTTCTTCCTTACAACTCTATGCCAGCCAACCAGATGGAAGCATTGAAGGGTTTGGGCTCTGCAATTCCCAGTTTACGTGTCACTGCTGCGTATAGCTCACGTGCGTACTCCTGCACTGAGCGCGTGTCCACCGCCATGTTGCGTCGCGCCTGACGCACCAAATAACTCACCAGCAAAGTTTCCACTTTTGCCAGCACCCTGTTCTGGCAATACCTGATAGATGAAGCACCTGCAGACTTTGTGATCTTCATGTGCTCCTTTATCTTGGCTGCATCCTTCTTTATTGTACGAATCGTAGATTCGTTGACGCCATGCTGGCGCGCGAGATCAACTTGGCGTCTTCCTTTCTCCAAATCTTGAACAATTTGGTACTTCAGCTCGTAGCTTAATGAACGTCGTGTCTTCTTTGGTTTAGTGCCGCTGGGTCCAGGTAAGGAAAGGTTTCTCTCTGGGGGTGGTGGTCCGGCGGAAGCCATTTTACGGAACAATGGATGCGCGTTAACCCGGCGTGGCCTTGAGGGATGAAACTGCCGCGGCTAGGTCAAGCGTCGTCTCTCCTCCCTCCCTCCCTCCCCGGGGTAGTCACGTCATAATACTTTAAGCCAATTACAGCTAGCAGCAGAGGGGGGTAGGGCTGCATGGCCAATCACAGTCCGAGACGTCATATGACGTCAGTGATAACGCAACAAAGACACACACTGCGCAACCTTACCGCGCCGCTTACCCAAGCGGAGGGAGGAGGAGGGAGAGGCAGGCAGGCAGGCGGGCGGGTGGGTGGCGCGTGGCGCGTGGTCAAAATCTAAAAATAGCATCCGAGCCGGACACTCACCGCGTAGCTGTGGAAAAAACCCGCGTTAAGTGAAAGTTCAGCTTTGGCAAGGCACCGCGTATATGCGAAAACGCGTTAAGTGAAAGCGCGTTAAGCGGGGTAAAACTGTATTTGTTTATTTATTTAAAAGTCATTTACTGAATATTCTATGTAAAAAATAAATTTTAAATTAATTATTTATAGGAGATAAGTATTATGATCAGTAAATATATGGTATTACTGGCCACTTCAGACACAAAGACGGGATAAAAATAGCCCATCTCCCCCTCTTCTTACAGCTGCCAATGGGACGCGTCTTGGTAATTAAATTTGATGCTTATTTTCATTGTCTAATTTATCATGTATCAAAGTAATATTACTAAAAATTGTGTAGGTAGTAGGCAGCTACCAAACAGGTAGATACTACCGCCTGGGAAGATATTGGAAGCATAATGTGTTGTCTAATGGTAGACCCTGCTGCCATATGGCATCATGAAAATTGTGACCAAGTCCCAGGTTCAGCGCTGACCTGACTTTCTGCCTCATTTACACACAATTGCAGTTTGAATTGTTCCTCTAACTTTGACAACACAACATACATACAGTATATTATTTCTCACTTTTGATCTTTTTTTACTTTTTGTATTTATTTATGGTTAGTTACTTAAAATAAGGGGACAGAATGTCTGGTGTTTGTTTGTTTATTTATTTGAGACAAGATTTGACAGTTGGCGCTGAAGGCCTGCCTGAGTGTTTATTTATCATTACTTAAGAGTGACAAAGCTCTTCTCATAATTTTCCACCCAAACGACCTGGGTGAATATAACTTACATTGGAGGGATTCTTGTAAGATAGTAATTTATTTGAATTTTTTTTTTTCCAATTTAAATTTTAATTGTTTATTCCTTGATGGAGGAAGCGGGATCCTAGTGCTGTCACTTGGTACCCCTGTACCATAACACCAGAAGCAACTGGCCAGTGTCACAAGTATATACAGTGGCCCCTCGGTTAACGAACTCAATCCGTTCCAGAAGGTCGTTCGTTAACCGAAACGTTCGTTAACCGAAACCATTGTTTCAATGGGTTTTTGGGTAATTGGTTCCAGCTCACCGAAAATTTCCTAAATTCAACAAAAATGGTAGAAAAGTTCACTTACTTTGAGGTGTATATGTAGAAGGCTCCTGGATGATGATGATGATGATGGGATTTAGAATGGGGGTGGAGGAGAAGGAAGAAGAGAAGGCATTGGGGTGGAAGAGAAGTCACCCCATGGTGCCATTTCACCCATAAAATTTTAGCTCTCTGGTTTAATTCAAGATTATTTTCTTTAAATCAATGCTGCACTGCATTATATATTGTCAATATATAAAATATATTTCAAAATGACCAATAATTTGCTTGGAAACACAGAAAAAAAGCGTTTAGTTGAAGAGAGTCTCAAGCAAGATGTTACCTCCAGTGAAAACAGAGAGAGACTGACGCCTGTTTGCTGTGTAAAGAGGCTGGATGCCGCGCATTAAACTAGTCACTTTACCTTCAATTTTGTTCAATAATTGTTAAAATGACTAAAAAATTGAATATTAAACTTTTAAAATTATTGAATAGTATAAACTTCTTGATATTTACAAAAATAGTAAGGAATTTA